ATATATATATATATATATATATATATATATATATATATATATATATAGACTTTAACTAGGTGATTCCAGCACATGAAAGTCAGCACGTCTAAAGCCTTAATTGTAGTATTTTAGGATTATTGTCCTGCTGGAAATCTAACCTTCCCAGTTTCAACTCTTTTGCGGCCTCCAACATGTGTTTTGAAAGAATTTGTGTGCATTCATTTGCATTCATCTTCCTACTAACTCCAAACAGCTCCTCCGCCCCTGCTGAAGTAAAGCACTCCTTCAGGATGATGCTGCCACCACTATGTTCCACAATAAAGATGGTGTGTTTAGGGGTTCGGTTTTTCACCGAATGTATTCCAAGCATTTTTTTTTCTACTTTGAACTTTGACCGAAAGCACCTTCTCCCACTTTGCTGTGTCCCTTACATTACTTCAGGTAAAATACAAAGGAACATTTTTTGCAAAATCTTCCAAACAATAGATTTGTTGTATGTAGACAGTATAGTTATCCTTTTATTAGGTTTTCCCACTTAAGTGGTTGATCCTAGCAGCTCCTGCAAAGCAACCAAGGTCTCTTGACTCCTCCTGTGATTAATGTTCTCTTGACTTCTAAAGATAATCAAACTGAATTTCATTGAAGGGTACAAGAATAAATGGGTGTAGATACAGCTGCACATTGTGTATTTAAGACTTTTAGGTGTGACTATTGCTGGTGCGTCATTGTAAATCTTGCTTTCCATTTATAGAATACAAAAATCCTGTCAAACTATGTTGTACTTTGTGTTATGCGACAGAATATGTGGTGGTTTGGAAGCTGTTAGTATTGCTGCTAGAGATGCACCAATCTGATATTAATATCTGTATCGGTCCCAGTGTTCAAAATTCTAGATCTAGTGTCTGTGATAATGGGCCTTAATCATAGTGGCAGACTTAATATGTATCATACTTGTTTGTACTGAGGGGTTTATGACGGCTTCGATAGGGAGTGGCGGCCTAGTGGTTAGGAAATAGGGCTTTGAATCCTGAGATTGTGAGTTCGATCCCCCGCTTCCACAGACTGCCATTCTGGGTCCCTGAGCAAGACCCTTAACCTCACACTGCTCCCTGGGTGTCTCACAATGGCAGCCCACTGCTCCCCAAGGGGATTGGTTAAATGCAAAGAAGTAATTTCCCTCTGGGATTATTATTAGAGTATATAAAACAGCATCAGTAATGATGGTAATATTAAAACACAGCTGTGGTGTCAGGAAAAGTACTGGGATCCGCAGTAATTAAAATAAGCATCGGAATCAGATTTGAAGTGAAAAAATTTGGATTGGTTTTTCTCTGCTTTCCGCAAAGCACTGTTGATACATATTTGTCATCCGCCCACTTTAACCAGATTTGTTATCATCTCCGTTTCCGTCTCCAGTATGGCTGTGACGTCCGGCACCGGGACGCCCAGGGTCAGACGGCGCTGGCCCTGGCTCAAAGCGCTGGAAGCCAGGAGTGCGTCGACATCCTGCTGCAGCACGGCTGCCCTTGTGAGCCGGCTCCCGTTTTCAGCACCACGGTTGGATTTGCGTCTGCTGTGACGTCCAGCTTCCCTGCTGCCATGACGCCAAGCTTGACGGTCGCCACCACGATCAAAATCACACAGAAGAGCAGCGGCGCCAACCTGGGTTACAGTACATCTAGAAGAGCTGTGTCATAAAGCGCAGAGTGTTTTTAAGTTAGTGTGTCACTGCTTCGCCCTCGTAGAGTCCTATCCATCCACACGGACAAACTGACAGATACCATCCAACTAGAGTCAGATGAGATTTTAGGAGGTGTGCGTGTTTCAGGGATGAAAACTGGAGAATACACTGTGCTGGGCTGATCCCCCCCCCCCCCCCCCCCCCCCCCTTTTTTTTTCTGGCAAAATGTCTGTGCATTCAGATTTAAGTAGAATGTACTAAACTGTTTACCAGAGACATATCTCCTCATGCAGTCATTGCTAGGCGATATTCTCCACTCTATTATGAGTGGAAAAGCGCCTTCAGGCCTCAAACTGCTTCTCTGAGCAGCCAAAGCCCAGAAGTATAAGAACTGCAATACGTTTACTAATCTGAAAGTGGGATGTATTGAACTCGTAGCATAAAAAGATTATGGCTAATGTTAATTCTGACAGTGAATGTGAGTTTTAGATTCCTCGGAGCTTGTCATTAAGTGCATAAATTATGTTATTTGTAAGTTGATGTGAAATATGTTAGTGGCTGGGAAAGGGGATAAAATAACTGTATAGAGAAGCGTTGATAAAACGGTAAAATACTACAAATTTCAAAGTGTCTCATTTCCAGTTTATTACTGTATGATTTGTACAGTTGTTTCTGTGTATAAAACATACAGAGGTTAATCATTGCTGTTCAGAGATTACCTGTACAGATTTTTCGTTTTTCCCGCTTAACTCAGATTTGTTTATTTTTGCCTTTTGTCTGTTCTTGGTGTGTCTGATGTAAAACATTGTACATACAGCTGTAGCTCATTGGTAAAGTGACTATAGTACAAGATATGTGTGCAGTGATGTGAAAAAGTTTTCACCACTTACAGATTTCTTTGACCTTTGCTTTTTGTCTCACTTAGATATTTCAGATCCAATAAATTCTACAAAGAAACATGGGTTTACGCAAATTACCACTTAAGAATGTTTTATTTGAAACAGAGAGAGAGAGAGAAAAAAATCTAAGCTTAATTTGGGAACTCTAGCTTTTTTTCAGCAAGAAATGCCTTTTTAAAATTCTTGATGTATTTGGATTTTGGTCTAGATTTTCTCTAGATCTTTTGGAACGTTAATTTTAGGGGAATGTTTTGGTAAATCTGAGGTGGAATTGCTAGTTGCCGTGGATACTTGGTTTGCTGCAGTGTTTTGGGCCTAAGGTGCCAATCTGAAGGCTGGACATTCTTCCTTAGAATAATTCCTGTTTGCAACTATTACAGCAAATCATCCCAGTCTTGAAGCAGGAAAGTAGCCCAGATCATCACACTCCCACCGCTATGCTTGACTGTAGGAGTAATATTTATTTCTGATATATATAGACCTTTGGGTTGTTTGTTTAATTCCAGATATATGAGGACCAACGCCTTCAAAAACATTACAATTGTCTCTTATATTTTTATTGAGTCAATAGAATATTTCAACTATCCATTGGGCCATCATGTTATTTTTTTATCAGTGGTGGTTGTCTCTTCGAGCTTTCCCATTAGTTTGCTTATATTTAATTGTTGAATAAACACGGACCTCAAATCAACATTAATGGAGTTTAGATGTTTTCTTTCCTTTTTTTGCTTGTTGGAATTAACAATTGCCAACAAGATTACGGCTGTTTCATGTTTTCTCTATTTGTGAATAATGGTTCTTCTCTGTGGTCCAAATATTACACAAATGTTTTTTGTAACTCATTCTCAGAAGGTTGAATTTTTTTGTGTTCTTATTCTTAATTTTCTGTTCTTGGTGTGTTCCTTTTAGATAACTTTTAACGTAGTTCATTTTTTTTTCTTAATTACGTCCGTTTTAAGTGTGCCATGTATACAGGGTTCTGCTGTAAAGCTATCCAAAGAGCTTTGTTTAGATACTGTTGTTTCCCTCAAATGAAATAATTAGAACAATTTATTTACTCAGATCACCACTGATGATGAAAGGAAAGTTTTGATCTTGAATTTTAAGTGTGACAAAAAGCTAATGGCAATCTGTAAGGCAGAAATACTTCTTCTCATCACATCACACAACTGAGATGACTAAATAAATGAAATGACTTGGTTTTTGACTGAATGTAGATAAACATTTACGCTGATGTGTTTTTTTGTTTGTTTTGTTTTGGGTTTTTTAAAGAGGATACAATTTTTGACTAATGTTCCTGGTGTGAAGACTAGAAATTAAAGGTATACTTTATATGATAAGAGCTTTCAAATGTATAAAATACGCCCTTCGAATAAAGTTTCTAAGCGACTGAAAACATACACGCAACAGAGGAATGTTCTCCAAATGTATTTTAAATCTAAGAGTATCTTATATAGCTATCAACCCTACTGCAGTACTGGAGGTACTTCAGTTGTGACCAAATGCTGGCCTTTTTTTTATTTTCTGCAATTAAGCTGTTCTCTCTTGTTTTGTTTTTTCCCATGACCTTTTTTTTTTTAACCCATTCAATAAATCAAAAACAGTTGTTCCTAAAACTAAATGGTCATTCTTCTATGCTGTGCTGTTTTTGTAATTTTCATGTGTTCAGATTTTATTGATATTTTTTTCTGCTAATAAACTGAACCACTGTAAAATAATGTTCCTTTTATTTGGACAAATCTCTGTTGAACTTTCATTCCTACATTAATATGTCTAACGGATTCTCTAGATAAAGAAATTATCCGCAGGTCCCTGACCCACGTCTTTCTAAGTTGCATATATTTAATGGGAGTGTATGTGATACAACACATTCTAGTGAAACATTTTCAATCTTTTTTTTTTTTTTTTTAAATTAAAGTATAGAACATTAGGGCCTCAACCGGTTTCATGTCACCAAAAGTCAATGCTTTGTAGAACTCCATTTCTATTAAAACTGCAAGTCTCCCAGCATACCTCTTTCTGTATGTTTAGTGTCAAAGTTTTTAAAAATGTTTTCAAGTCTTTTAGAGGGTTTTTTCCCCCTAATGGTCACTCTGTATTCAATCCTTTGTTATCTTCTTATCTGCATAAATATCGCTGCTAAAGAAAAGCATCCCCCTCAGCATGATACTGTCTCCACCATGTTTCACCTTGAGGGTTAGGAGTTAAAAGTGTCTGTTTTCCACCTCACATTGAAGGGTTTGTTCATGGATGAAAACATTTAATTTTGGTCATGTCTCACCACCACCTTCAACTGTGTTTTCTGCATCCCCTTCATGTTTTTTTTTTTTCTTCAGCTTTTTGTCTTTACACTGTCACAAGTACAGAGCAACAAAATTCACAGTTGCAGTGAGGGGTTAATGGTCTTTTTACTTAGGGACCCAGAGTGGCAGTCTGTGGGAGTGGGGCTTGAACTCAGAACCTCTGGGATCCAAGCACAATGCCCCAACACCTAGGCTGCCATTCCCCCTTAATTGTGGAAAAGGTTATAAGTATAAAATTAAGGCCTCCTGTTTTAGATTATTATCTAGCAAAATCTGTTTTACGTCACATGTTGAACAGGGTTGTGTTGGTTCCTGGTATAAAATCCTAAACTAAGGTTTGTTATATGTCAGATTCTGAAACAATTTTGCACAGACCTGTAAAATATGTTTATGGATGTGCTTTGCAACCACAGAGAGTAGAATAACTTTTTTCCTCATAAAACATAAACAGAACTTCAATACTGCATAACCCTCAAAAGGCTAAAATCAGATTGAAGGTCCAATCATCCGCAGATGTGAAAGATGAAGTCTGGGAAAAATGAAAGGGAGAATAACTTGTTTTAATAAATTTCTGAACCGCAACCTGATGTCAGAAAGTGTCAAAGTGTTTTAAAGTGGGTTTAAAAGCAGTAGCAATCTAAATATGTTGATGTTTAGGGAACCATAGTGACCGAGTTTTATACATCCACCGCTTGGTCGAACTGTAGCTATTATCTTTTAGGTAGGTAGGTTGCTAATTTGGAGAAGTGGTGACCGCAAGATACCACTCAGCGGACATAGGAGCCTTTATAAATCCTCCTGACTGTAGGTGGCAGGATAAACTTCCAGGACATCCAGTTTTTTGTCACAGTTTAAGTTATTCCAATGTTTTAATGGTTAACCGTTTCTTTATTGTTTGGTACTATTTATTGTATCCTTGTCCTGTTAATAGACCCAATTCTGTAGTATTGTCTGCTCGTAGTCTCCATCACATTTGTATCAGAAATATGTTGGTATTTAAGTGACTTTAAGAGAAATTACTTAGCTTTGGGGGTGAAGACAGCACAGGGGATTGTGGGATGCATTCTGCCAGATCTGGACATGGTTTATGTGACAGTGGACCAGAAAAGGGCCAAATGCCCAACCACTGATCGCACCTGTCAGGGCTATAAGCTTATTTTTCCATTTTCATCAGGAAAATTATATCCAGAACAAACATGCTTAAAAACAACTTATTTCCCAGAGCTGTACAGGCACTCCCACATTCAAAAGGAACAAAGAAAATGAATCATCATCACTGAGGTCAACACTAGTGGGTTTATAAGCAATTAGAAACTGTGTCCTTGGAGAATGTTGAATCATTGAATGATACTCATTTGCTGGGGTTTAAAAGGGCTTTTATTTCTTTACTGAGTCCAAGTAGAAAAAACAAAAGCAATTTCACTTTATTCTTGTAGTGTGGATGGAGGTTTTATGTTAAGGACATGTATTACAATTATCTACTTCAGAAGATATATATTTAAAGTTGCTTGATTTAAATCTCCCTTTTTTTCCTCTTCTGTAAATTGTCCATCATCCATGTGAAGCAGAAGGATAAGAAATGTGTGCCAGGAGCACTGGGATAAGACAGTCTAAATAAAGACAGAAATTAATGCTTCATCACAGAGATTACATTTCAGAGGGACACCTTTACAGCGAGTGGATATGAGTCACTCTTATTAAAACAGCGACTACTTTTTTACAGTTTTACCTATTAAAAACTTTGACATTTTTTATTGGGGTATTTGTGTGTTGATGTAATCTAGAGTGGAAGAAAAGTCATTTATAAATTTCACCTGAATGTTTTTTCTTTAATTTCTCTGATAAACCTAAATATATAAATCTATTGATAGGACCTGCTTGAAAACGTTCGGTTTAGGCAACTGGACGTGAAGCTTTCTAGAAGACGTTTTGCCTCCCATCCAGGAGGCTTCTTCAGTTCTAACTGGTAAGGAACACTGAGATTAATGCTGATGAAGATTTTCAGTTATCCAGGTCATAGTCATTCCGTAAAAGCTTCCTAGAGATGTGGCGAAACGTCTTCAAACCAATTCCAGTGGATTTTTTTTTTAACTTTTACAGACTGAGATTGGCCAAGCAGGGTCACACAGCAGGGTGTTGATAGTCATAAGGGGGTTTTGTTGGGTCGTTAACTCCTTTGACCCATTTGACTTTTTCAAGCTTGAGCATGACCTGGATGACTGAGAATCTTCACAGATTAATAGGACCTGTAAGCTATGAACTACATAAATCCAACCTAAAGAGGAGAAGAACACAATTTTTAAATTAAATTAATAAAGCCAGGAGATATGATAGTTGGGGTATGCCAACCATGTAGCAGAAAGAAATGTTTGGAAGGTGATGCTCAGCATTGCAAATTCAAGCTAACACCAGACTTCACCCAGAACACACAGTGGTGGCATGATCATGCTGCGGGGGTTTCCTTTTCTTTAGCAGAATTAAAAAAGCTATTCACACTTACCAGGAGGAAAGACAGAGTGATGGAGTTGGCAATCCTGGAAGGAAACCAGTGAAAGACTGTTAAACCTCTGGCACTGCTGTTTTTAATTATGTTTGGGTAGAGACTGGGCTTCTGGATCGTGTTTGCTGTTAGTTCATAATTGACACAGACATAGCTTTACATACTGTGATTGCAGCGAGAGGCTGTGACCCAGAATGGATGAATACAGGAAGGAAGGTAAACATCAGATAGAATTTTAATTTCTTGTTAACAAACATGTGTTATTTTGTGTAGTTATATCATGTAAAATCCAAATGAAGAGACATTTGACATTCATGGTAACCTGAGGCGAACATCTCTGCATAGCAGCACTCTGTGCCTGGACACTCTGAACACCGCAGGCCAGCTTTAATTGTAATAGCTTTTAAGGCATTCATGAAACACACCGCAAGATATAGTCAGTCTGCGACATGAAATAAATTAACAACAGCAATAACACAGCCTTTCCCCCATCTTATTTGCAATTTTAATTAGCTTTTAATAGGAAAAGATGAAACATTTTAATTAGTCTTGTCTGTGAGGTCAGTCTGAACATTTTATTAAGATGATTGGGAGTCTTTCTGTATTGCAATTACCGCTAGTATTCCTACAAAGTAGAGCTGGAAATAGAGAAATAAATACATTTTCCACGACCCAGAATTCTCCAAGTTCTCAATCCCAACAGTATAAATACTTTAAGTTGCTTTTACATAAAGCCTTCATATATCTGCCTGGGATTTAAAAGGACAAGCTAAACAAAAGTTAGCCAGGAATCTTGTTTTAATGTATTGATGAGTGATAAAATGCTGGACATAGCATGGAGAAATGAGACAAAACCCAAGTAAACCTTTTAATTGTTGCTTACTTCTTGCAGTGATTTCCATGCTGTACTTAATTAAGACAAAACAAACAAAAAACACTGTTGGCTGTTGAATTTAATGCTCATCTGGAGAAAAATAAATAAGAACAAGTTTAAAGGAGAATATTTTGTGTAATTGGAAATTCAAGTAGCTCCAAAAACCGTATGCTCACTTACCAATATCATTATTTTTAAGTTTTACTACTTTTTTCTGGACCCCAAAATTGACGGCCAGTATAAACATGAATAGGTTTGAACTGGAAACATTTGTTTACCTCTAAATAAAAGCTTTTAAAGATTTAATCCATATTGGTTAGATTTTTAAAACAATGCAAAAAAAGGCACAAAATGTTTAATGTTTTAATCCAAACACCATTGTTAGTTGTGCTGAGTGCAAACCGGAAATATCTGTCATTAAACATAAAGCAAGTCACATGATGTTATTAGGAGACGTCACATGACTAACAGGTTGAAGTCCCTACCTGCAGCCAGAGACCAGGGTGCTTCCTCTCCTCTCACTAAAGGGAGGGAGAAGTTAATGGCTTTAAACCTGGCTGTAAGCGGTCAATAAATGATGTCTCAGGCTTCCTCCAATGTTTAGTGATCATTGTTGCACTTTTACACAGAGGGCCTCTTTGATTCAACTTTCAAACCAATCATCTTCTTCAACTAAAACCTTGACATTTGCTTAGATACACTTTAGAGCTGCATTGTGTTTTAAAAAATGCCAACTTAGGTTATTAGCTTAGCTTATTTTATGGGCCTAATCTTTATTCCTCACCTTAATCTTTGTAGGTAGTCTTCCTCAAAACATTAAACCTTACCCTGACTTTAAAGAGAGTAAAATATGGCACAATAATAGAAGAAAACCTAATCAAGGTTGCAAAAGACTTAAGAACAGGTCACAGGTTTACCTCCCAGCAAGACAAACCCCATAAATAAGGCCAGATCCACAATTGTTTAGAATTACTGACTGTATGATTGTAATATGAGATGATTTCAAAGGGTTAAAGAAATAACAACAGATTATTTAGCGGTACATCTTTAGCGCTCCTTGTGGGTTTGGTGCAGCTAAGCTCTGGATTAAAAGACAACCAATCCTTGAGTTAGGCAAAGATCTTAGAGATGAACTCCTTGAAACGTTTCGCATACTGCTCAGGATGAACGGTTGAGATTTCACCTCCTGCCTATAAAACACACAGAGAAGCACGGCTGATTGAAAAACTGGGGAGCGGAAGATGAAAGCCACCCTTTCACACTTTAGATGAGTTGCGTCCCCACGCTAGGCAGTCCCTTTAAAGAGTAATGCTCTCTCACCCCGTGTTTGACAGCCTTGGCAGCGTGAGCGGCTTTCTTCTTGGCATCATACTGCGTCAGCACATCAATCAGACCGATGAAGTACACCTCCCTCCTGGGAGCACCTGTGAGGAAATGATTCACGGCGTTTGTTGAGTGACATTGATGCTAAAGTACGCCTTTTGCAGCTCTGCGTGAAGTTACGCTTAGATGCCACTCACCCACAGCGCTCTGAACGGCGTACATGTCCACGTAAGGGTCAAACTCTCCAGGGCCCATGGGTTTGAAGGAGTACATGTAGCCGGCAATACCTTCAGGTGAGGTAGAGCAGGGAGGAGCTGCTAAGTCATTTTCATCCTCATCGTCCTCCTCACAGGATGACTCCATTTCTTCCTCCTCTTCCCTCTCGGCATCATGGATGCCCAGCAGCAGACTGTAGTCCATGATCTTCATTTGCACTAGAAACTGCAGTGATGGGCATTTGAACAGAAATCTTTAACATAAATCAAACACAAAAAGCATAATTCCCTCACCTCAGTATCTCTGCTGAGCTTGTCCATCAACTTCTCTTTCTCCTCGTCGCTAACATAGATCTTCTGCATGTAATTCAAGAAGTCTGCATCCTTGTATGTGGGTAGCTCTTTGACCTGAAAAAAAAACAAAAAAACAATGCTGAATAGTTTCCCCCCATGTTTTGCTTGACAAAAGTGACATAAAAAAGACAGATTTAGCATATTTTCAAGAGGTCCTGCATAGTCTTAGTCACCACTCTAGTTTTACATGCTTATATTATATTATTAATTACTGTAAAACAAATAGCTAACAAGTAGAGGAACACCATATGATCTAAAATCACAGGCAACATTGTTAGGGTAAATGGCATCAAAAGTCCTTTAGAATAATTTACTGGGGAGTGGCATTGCACTTGGAATCAAGACGTTCTGAGTTCAAGCCCCACTCCCACAGACTGCCACTCTGGGTCCCTGAGCAAAGACTTTAACCTCACATTGCTCCCTGGGTGCCACACAATGGCAGCCCACTACTCCCCAAGGGGATGGGTTAAATGCAGAGAGTTCATTTCATTGCTCTGTACTTGTAACAGTGTAATGACAATAAAACACTGCAACAGGGAAAAAAAAAGGAAAGAATAAAAGGAAATACAAGTTAAGCATAAATTTACTAGACTCAAAAAGAAAAACCCCAAGTTTAACTCAGAAACGGTTTACCAGGTGATATATAAACTTTCTTCCACTGCCACCTCAGTCCCCAGAGCAAAGTCTGACCAAAAAAAAGACAGCTGGGGGAGCTAAAGAGAAGAGAAGGTTGTTTTCACCTATGAAGAGGCATAAACTGTGTTCGCTGCAGGACTCTGGCCTGGAGCTAGGAAAAATTTATACATCTTAAAATCACAGCCACTAGCTCAGCATGCTTGTTGTTGTTGTGTTTTTTTTCATGGCTGCAGTCTGAACACAAGAATAGAAACCTGGGCCATACCATCCCCAATCATCAGGAGAAGAAGCAAATGAGCAGATGTACAGCAGGTGGCTTACTTAGCCATACATAAGCAACAACCAGTAGAGGTTAACTTGACAATAAGTGGATTACAATGTGAAAACCTGTTATACCATTATAAGAATATCATCAATAAGAAAACCTCAGCTCTCTGAGAGTTGAGGAGATCACATCCAGGTCATCAATTCACATGGATTTTTATATACATGATTATATTGCTGATAATACTGCAGACCTGGGCACAGAGCAGTATATAATCAATGGTATTCTGCACTCTGTGCATTGTTTAACTTGTGCAAATGAGCTTTTCAAGCAGTAAAGGCCCTCTGCTTCCTGTGTGAAAGGAGCCCAGATGATCAAGAAGGAACCAGGGCAGTGGTCTCAATTTCCACTCCTCAAGGCGGGGTGTCCTGCAACTTTTAGATGTGCCTCTTCTTCAACACACGTTACTCCAACAAGTAAAAATAAATAATAAGCACATTACCAGAACTCTGCAGAGCTTGATTAAAAAGTGAGGCAGATTAGCCATTTCAATTAGATGTGGAAGGAAAGGGACACATCTGATTGTTTCCAGAGTGATTTAAACACATGCATTTAAATCATACAGTTTATAACAATAATTTAATCTCACCTTCTCTTTAAAACTTGCCTCCCGAGCCAGCACTGAGCCCTGGGGAAGGAGAAAAGGGATCAGCATTACTAGGTAGATTTTAACTTTCCTGTATCATAACTGGGATTAAACTAGACTTCTGTCCTATTGAATTATATGAGTGTATAATTTTATGGAACTGTGTTGATTTTGCAGACATGCTGATCTGTTTTAATCATAAAGTCACTCAAACTGACACATAACATGAATTGGAGTCATGCAAACAAACAGACTTAAAGTGAGTAGATCAGAAACACAAACACTTATGTGGAGTCAAACACTATCTAGTAATGGGAAAGCTGTTGTAAAAGAAAAAAACTGTATTTCACTGTCCAGTTGCTGTAAGGGTTGTGTATTGTCATTTGTTGAATGCTGTGCACCATATCATAAGCTGATTAGCCTACAACCACAGTTAGAGAGGGGTAAAGAAGGTTGATGCAGATTAACATTTTTTCAAATTTCAAAAGGTGGACATTTTATCTGATGGGGAAAAAATGGGGCAGACAAATTATACCCTTTAATTAGTCAAAGTATTAATCTTTTGATAAGCGTTTCTTTCGTTTGATGTCATTGACTCAGACACACCCGGTATTTAAACCCTGATTAAAGGCAACAAGCATTTTCAAAGGAATGCTGAACCCATATACTGCTCACAACACACCAAAATAATCCAACCCTGACTTACAAACTAAATGCTATTCAAACCTCTATAATCTTGGACAGTATTTGTCTTTCTTTAATTACAAATTATTTTAATCAATATCAACTTCATTTATGTATTTATTTAAGACATTATTTTTATGTGGAAAGACTAGGATGATCACATGTATAGGAAAAATTGAGCATTGTTAGTCATTTAATGTGATTATAAGATTGAACTTGATGATTATTTGCTCTAAAAAAAGTTTATTAAGATAAGTATTGATTGACTTTACACATATAGAACATTTTCTAAATGATCATGTTGTTTTAAGCTTTCACTACATTACTGTGAACATAGAAAAGTTATTCCCTGATTATAAGATAGGTTTCCAGTGTAATAACACATGGATAGTGTCTTGGCTAATCTCACAATCCATGTCTCCTCTAGCTTTCACCTTCAGGTCGTACTTCCTGTGTACGGGCAGTCTGTGGCTAAACATGTTCCTCATTACTAACAGGTAGGTGTCCTCGCTCTCCACCGTCACTCTGTACATGGCCAGGAACTGAGGGAGCAGCGTGCTGCCATGGCAGGTGACAATATGCTGCAGGAGAACGAAGAACAAAAAGGAGACATTCACAGTGTGAGACTGTACAAAAACAAGAAGCTTTTGTGTATTCCTTCACCCGAAGATTTCTCTGCGCCATCAATGTTGAACAAGCTATTAATTAAATACATTTTGAATGCAGCGGATCCATTTTACTTATATAACTTTACATCATTTATTGCAATAAAGACTAAGCTTTCAAACAAAAAAAGGTTTCATTTGTCTGTTTAAAAAGAAAAACATTAACATTGCGTGGTTATTATCTATCCATCCATTTCTGTCTCGCTTTATTCCTGCTGGGGTTGCTAGAGGTGCTGATGCCTATCTCCAGCTGTCAATGGTCGACAGGCGGAGTACACCCTGGACGGGTCGCCAGTTTATAGCAGGACACGGAGACAAACGGGACAAAAAACCATTTACGCACAGACTCACACCTAGAGAAGCCAATTAACCACACAGTTATGTTTTTGGACTGTGGGAGGAAACCTGAGTACCCGGAGAGAACCCATGCATGCACAGGGAGAACATGCAAACTCCATGCAGAAAGGCTCTGTGCTGGGAATCGAACCCAGGAACCATCTTGCTGCAAGGCAGCAGTGCAACCCACTGCAGCCCATGTTTAACATCATTTTTTTAATCTTATTATTTATCTTTATCTTTTTTTTTACCCTTCCATTAAAGGCCGGACATATAGAGTTACATCTCAAGGCACTTTACAATTCAGCCAGATCATAGCACCAAATTGATTCAAAGTTTTCTATCAAAGGAAAACCAGTTGATTGCATCAACTCATTGACCTGAAGGCAATCGCTCACACTAATCATACTTGTAGCAACAGTGGAGAGGTAAAACTCTCCTTTAATGGGAAGAAACCTCCAACAGAACCAGACTCAGTTGGAGTGGTCATCTGTGGAGGCCGACTGTTCAAGATATTCCAGTCATCATATTCTTCTATTTGAGTTACTGAGCTCTGCAGCTCCTCCACTGTTACAAAGGGCTGGCTCTTTTTGTCTCCGCAGGTTTGCAATTGTGTTTCATTTCTTCCAGCTTTGATGTTTTTAACAGAGACCTTTGATGATTTATTTACATGCATCAGAGTATATAATTAAAGGATTATTATGTCCTCTGTAAATAAATGCTTTCAATATTTTTCCCATTTTCAAAAATGTTAAAAACCATGACTCCTTCTGCTTCCGCTTTAGCATTACTTATTATTTTGTGTTGGTCTGGTACATAAGGACTCATTAAAATACTGCGCACTGACGTAGCCTACCTGATGATACCCGGACAGGATCCTGTGCATTTCTTCAACCTCCTCACTGGAAATTTCTTTTACCACCAATGTCCGGTCGTATGATGTCAGCAGCAGTCCTAGGTACTTTCCCTCCTCTTCTCTGAGCGGAGAACTGCGAGTCAGAGAAACCTAAACGACAGACAGGGAGGAAGAGTATCTATAATGTCACATAAAAGCACACTGAAAAAAGCACTCTAAAAAAACAGCATTTACAGAAATGGTCAGCCCTCATGACGCTTTTGCTGACAGTGACCTTAGAGCTGTTCTTTTTAATTTAGTTGTTGTGTTCATTTGGTAGATTTTCAGTAATTCTCAGATTTTTCTTCTTCGATAGAAAATGATCCCTGTAATTGTGTGCTAAGCAAATGTGTGCTGCATGTTCAGAAGGATAACTCGGCACCACCTGGCACATGCAAACAAGGCACAAAGACATGCAAATGCAGACCGGTGGACATCAATAAAAAGCTCCCACAAAAGGAGAGCATAGAAGAAAAAGCTGGTGAGGATCTGCTTCGTCTTGTTAAATTCAGCATTCTTTTTAAATAACAGTGTTTGTTGTTCATCAGTATATTTGTGCACTGTCAAACGTGGAATAATTATGTGTAGGTACCTGGTAATCTTGATCCTCAATGCCAAAGCGTTCTCGCAGGTTTCTGAACACCTGTGGGCAATACTCTTTGAATTTAAACTGGCCCGGAAGATTCTCCCTGAGGATAAAAGGAGTTTGATCAATTATGACTGTGCTTCACTGTTTCCCAGGGTGTTTCAGTGTTGTTCAATATCATCTATACTGTAGATACTATTTTTTGACTATAGATTCTACTGTCAAAAATGTTTGAGTTAAGAGTTAAAGTGTTTCAGCACAAGCAAAACAAAATGCTTTTCCTCATGCCGCCTCTGTTATTGAAGTCTTTACCAGAGCTGCATTCCAGTATGGATTAAGGGATTACTCAAAGCCTACATGGTTTTGGTCAATCTGCTTCAAAAGGTAGCACTAGAAGCAGCTTGTGTTGCCCTGTACAATCCATCAATTAGAAATGGAAAGAGTACGGCACAACTGCAAAGAAACCAAGATGGCAGGCGTCCATCTAAACTTATAGGCATGAAAAAAGAGAGCATTATGCAGACAGTCTGTTTGTGGGTGCTCAATAACACTGGATGAGCAGCAGAGATCCATTGCTCAGGTTGAGGAAACTGTGGATAGCACAATCACTCTGCAAATCTGGCTTCGCTGAAAGAGTTCTACAATAAAACCCAATAAATCGAGGAGAGACAATTTTAGTTAGAAGGTGGTTTTCCTGTACATTGTAAGCAAGATGAACTGTCATGAGATTCATGAATTCACAAGCTCATGAAAATACATCTCGCCTGGAGCCAGCATATGCAGTGGCCTTGATACAGAAATTTTTCAGACCAATGAAATGCAGTGAGGTGTATGACATCAAGGTAGAAGGCTGAACTAAAAAAAAAAAGGCTGCACTGGTTTTAGCTGGAATACCCTCCATTTCTTTTGGAAAAACAAGCAAAAGGACACGATTTTTGACTTTGTGGATGTAGAGATGTTTGCGTGTTACTCCTGACTGAACTTAGTAAGAGTTTGATATATCAGTTAACTCCGTTAGTTGTGAAACAAATCAAGATCTGTTTCCCAACTTGATTTGGATTGCAAAAATATTTCCCAAGCTTTTAACATGCCAAGGAGCACTGTGTAAGCCATAATACTGGAATGGAAGGAGTATCAGACCACTGCAATTCTATGAAGAGCAGTCCGTCCCTTTAAACCTTCAGCTCTAACAAGGAGAAAACTGATTAGAGATGCAGCCAAGAGACCCATGATCACTCTGGATGAACTGCAGAGATCTACAGCTGAGGTGGGAGACTGTCCATAGAACAGAGACAGTCGTTTACTGCACAAATCTGGCCATAATGGAAGAAAGACATTTCTCAGAGAAATCCTTAAAAAGTCTGTCTTGTTTAAAGTTTGCAAGCCTCCTGAGAGACACAGCAAACATGTGGAAGAAGGTGCTCTGGTTAGATGAGACCAAAATCAAACTTTTAGGCAACAATGCAAAACGTTATGTTTGGTTTAAAAGCCACACAGCTCTTCAACCTGAACACACCATCCCTACTGTCAAACATGGTGGTGGCAGCATCATGGTTTGGGTCTGCTTTTCTTCAGCAGGAACAAGGAAGATGGTAAAAATTGATTAGAAAATGGATGGAGCCAAATACAGGACCATTCTGGAGGAAAACAGGTTGGAATCTGCAAAAGACCTGAGACTGAGACAAAGATTTCTCTTCCTACAAGACGATGATCCAAAAATAAAGCAAAATCCACAATGAAATGATTCACAAATAAACATATTCAGATGTTAGAATGGCCAAGTCGAAGTCCAGACCTAAATCTAATAGAGAATCTTTGGAGGGAATTGAAAACTGCTGTTCACACACACTCTCCATCCAACCTCACTGAGCCCCAGCTGTTTTTCAAGGAAGAATCTGCTAAAATTTTTGTCTCTCGACTGAATAGTACTGAACATACTCCAAGCAATACATTTCGTTCCACTTCACGATTTTTTCCCACTTGTCCATTCTTCACAAAGAATTAAATTTCATGTCTTTATGTTTGACGCCTGAAATGTGGCAAAAGGTCAAAAAGTTCAAGGGGGTGGAATACTTTTCCAAGGCACTGTATGAAAACAAGAGCACAAAGGGTGTAAACAGAAACTGTTTGCATAATAATAACTACGAACAAAAGTAAGCAGTAACAGAACAAAGCAGAGGGATGACTCTGGAAATAAGAACCAGAGCACACAACTCAACCATTTTATAAATCCTGACATGAAACACAGAAACACAAAAAGTAGTCTGAGTTGAAATTATTAAAGGAAACTTATGTTTTAAGTTTGCCATGAGCCTAATTAACCAAAAAAGCTGGAGGAAAATGGTTTGGCTATATTTTTTTCTTGGTTAACCTTCTATATATAGAGCATTACCAACTAATAGGCATGGTGGTGGCAGCATCATGCTGTTGTCATGCTTTTCTCGCCATTTTTTAATTGTTGCTGTAATAAGTCAAATAAAAAAAATAAAATAACTGGACATCACTGCAGTAAAGTCTTGAGAAACATATGGTTCTCTCCACTCCATCTGTGCTACTAGTATATGAAAGGCCTGGATTCCTGAATGGATTAAGAGATTATTAAAAGGCTAGTCGGTTTTTAACAAACGGTTAGAAAACTAATCTTTAGTGGAGACATTTTCCATACAGCAACTTTTAGAAACTGCTTTAATTATCTAAAATTCCCTCATTTAACAGTCATAAAGTTTCACATTAAAAGAGTTCCCTTAAAAAAAAAAAAAGGCAACACAAATAACATAATTTAACATTACCACAATGCTGTCACTGTTGCCACATGAGATAAACATTTGGTAGTTAATAACATCAATTCTCTGAAGGTTCTGCCCTTTCTGATAAATGAGCTGCAGGAATGTGTTCATCTGTACAGTCTGCAGGGTGAATATTCCCACAAAGAGAGAGCAGATAGAGCACATTACTTGTTGAAGCAGTGGTTGATCACTTTGATCTTCGTGCTGGCTTTGAAGTCGTCTGGGAGAAGCATGACAGGTACAGGCACTTGGTTCAAGTCATTAATCTGCGCATGTTCAATGGGTGAAATGTTAATGAGAATCCCTGCTCCAAATAAAAACTTCCCTGATCCACCCTAAGTGTGTTTGTTTTCCATACCGAGTGATTGACTCCCCACATCAAGACGCTCAGCACCGGGTCACTGGCTCTGAAGACCTTCACCTTCTGCTGCACAAAGTGTTTCTTCTTGGTCTTCCTTTTAGGCTTCAGGGGTCCCGCAGGAATGGATGAGGAGGCGGCGCCGGGAGAAGACATGTCTCTTTGTCTCAGGTTGTCCGGTCCTCGGTGTGTGGGAGCAGGTTTGCTGTGGCTGCTGTGGAGTCCTGTGTGTATGTAAAGTAGGTAGAAGTGTGGCTGTGGAGCCACTGCAGCAGCAGCAGTGGCTCTGTACTGAGAATGAAACAAGAGCAGAGCTCAGCCAAGGTATTATAGTGCAATCAATGTAATTAAACATTAACTAGATTGATATCGGTGCATTTATCTCGTGAATGTGCGCCTTGTATTAGAATTGCATGATTGTAGCCTTAACACTGGACCTCAGGGAGGTAACTGTTGATTATTTTACAGGACAGAACAGATGACTGAGCAGAGCCGCACATTTTCTGGGGACTTTGCCCCCCAACCCCCACCCAGTCCATGTATATTGCTTTTAGAGAATTGTTTTTACATTTAGTTTTTTTTTTTATCAAAGAACTCCTTAAATACAGGGGTTGTTCCAGTGAGTTGGTCTGGTACGCTTTAATTATTTCTGGTCCAGCAGCATTTGCCTTTCCTCTGCAATGGTCAGTCAAACATTGATGCTGCTCCTTTACTTCTATGCAATAGGGATCATCATTAGGTAAAGCATCTCAGCCTGTTTCTTCCTCTGTCTGCTTCTTCAATGAAGTCAGAGCCTCAAAGAATGCATTTGTTCCTCTGTCCATCAACGGACAAAAACACACTAAACTGTGAGGACTGTGCATGCTCTCTTTACTTTACTGTCGGTTTTATTTTATTTTTGTATCAATTGGTTTATCTTGATCTCATAACATTAGTCAGGCATTGAGCTGAAGAAAAAAAAAGATACATTTTGATGTTGATGCTGTTTTTATGATTTAAGCATGAAGATAATAAAAAATATTTGCTGTTTTAAGTTCACATAGACCCCATTTATGGAGCAGTCTATCCACTCACTGGGAAAACATAACGTCCATTGCATCTACTACAGAGAACTTATATGATGATTCTTAATAGAAGAAAAGGAGCACACATGCCACTCACTGAAATTACCGTAAGAAAATATTGCAGCTTCAACTCCTTCTACTACCACTATTTATAACAATACTACCAATAATAGCAGCCACAACAACAACAACAGTGATAACATCATTTATACAGAGAACTAGATCATGTAGCTGCATATAATCACTATTGCTTTAAAAAAAAAACAATTTTAACATAATAAAACTAGAAATAATTAGCTTTCTATTGACTTTAACAATCATATCCAATATAAAACCAATTGACTCGAAACTTCTCTAATGATTCATTTCTCTTAGTTTTTATTAAACCCTTTACCTTGTCAGCTGCTCCCTTCTTTAATCATAAAAATGGTAACAGTAGATGCGTTTGTTGTTGCGTTTTAAGTTCTATTGTCACTCATTTGCTATATTCTACTCTCCCACGGTGCAATAACACAACTACTGTGTAGCCTGTGTGGTTTTTTTTACTCATTTATGAGGTCAGTACATCTCTGCAGTACAAATGCAATATCCAAGCCAACTACTGCGTAATCTTCCCTTAGCTCTCTACTGTGGAGATATGGTTTAATTTAACGGAAACATATTCTAGGACATTACAACTGTTTTCTGTTTTGTGCTTTTTTGTACTATTTGCACTCTTTTTGTATTGTCTGATGTATTTTTATCTTTAATGGCGTTCTGCTTTAACTGTTTGGACTCTCTACAAGCTATTGGCAGCAGAATTTCCCCGAAGGAGTAATCCCAAGGGATAAATAAAGTTAAGTCTAACTTCCTCTTTTCAAGACCTCACTTAAGGATTTAAATCAATTCTTTTTAATTGAAAATTTGCATCTACTGTTGAACATTTTGCCTTATTTTTATTTCAGGCATTGTGTGTTTCAGTTAGATAAATATTTTCATTGATAGTTCATCTGCATTATCGATGTATCGTTTAAATTATTTTGTGGCCACTGAGGTTATTACATACTCTTTGGATTCTTCCTTAAAAAAAACATAAATAATACACTTTACCACATGAATAAGAAAAACTGTAATGGAAAATTATTGTCACTTTTATTGCAGGAACTCATAATCTTATGGGAAACACATTAAGCCTAATTTATACATGCCAATCACATGTAGAGATTATGGGTAGGTGGCTTTTGATCAAGTGATTATTGCTAATATTAAAAGAAAAGAGAAACCCAATTTTTTAACAATATTTTATTATTACAAATTAACCAAATACATAAAAACAACTTTGTAATACTGTCTTAAAGATCAGTCTTAAACAACATTAGAAGCCCTCAAATTTTATAAATTAAGCAGTCAAGGTTCTCAAGTTCCCTCAAATAAGTGTTAGTTTTCACTTTTATAGTTAAGGAGATTATGATGATTGATTTAAACATAAATAGAACTATATACAGGTACATAAATATGGTTCAATAATACAATAAATGTGGTTTAAAAGAATAAGGAACACACTTAGAAATATATAGATATGATAAAACCTAAACACATAAAACACCAAACAGACATAATAAAAAATGAATCATGAACGTATCACTGATAGATAGTTTTTTTTTTTAAAGAACAATAAATTAACATTCCTAAAAGTTTTGATATGATATGAAAGAAGGTGTTTAGATTTTTGGGTCATTTGTTTAAAAAAAAAAAAAAAAAAGTCTAAACTGTTACTGAGTTCATAATTGACATGCTTTGGTGTTAATGTTTTGTATTTTCATTTATATTAGTTGCAATCAGATATCCCCTGAATGTATGTTTCAAATAACAGGCAAAAGTGAAAGAAGTAAATCAGCACAGTCAGTAGAGGGCGTAAGGACACAAAGTTGGACTTTTCTGTAAAACAGCCCCTCAGGGAGAAAAATCTGTTTCCATCTGATGGAATATGCAACACATGAAAAAGTATGTTCAATTCATTTGGGAAAAAAGTTCCTTCATCTGTCTTCTTTAAAGCTCCTTAGCAAATAATGCTTCCTTGTGATTTGGTCTTCTTAGGGACAGGGAGGCCATTCTGATCCACACACCAACACTTTCCACGCTGCCTGCTCTGAGATGACCAGCACTGGACACAAGGAGTAAACCAACACAAATGAGAAGACAAATCAAAAGCACCTTAATAAAGGACTCAATTTATACAATTTAAAGCTCCCTACAAGACATATTTGTCTGTAAAAAAAAAAAAAAAAATCATTCCTAAAAAATCTAACAGTGAGTGTTTTGGGGGGGGGGGTTGCATCACGACTGATGCAAAATAAACCCAGCCTTTGTTTTCATGCAGTGATCATAGCTAAAAAGACTGGGTTTTGTGAAAATACGTGGCACACTTTTTGTTTTGAAATTTTAGAGAGAAAATATTTTGAGCATTTATTTTCCTCGGTTCAGGAGGTTATTAAAGAAAGCCCAGGTATTGTTTAGAGATCAAGGTTCTACAAGCAATTGTAATAAAAATTAGACATTTAGGGGTTAGGGTTATGAATATTATTTAAACTTTACAGCTTTAGAGTGAGCATTCTTCCATAATTATGTTCCATGTTATCAGATCCTAATTTTTCTATATGATAAACAGAGTAAATGTCTGTTTTGGTGGTTAAGATCATTTTAAAAGAAAACTAAAGACAAAAAATATTGAATTTCTAGGTGGCATAGACCCTATGGTAAGATCTGTTTTTCCAATGAAGTTAAAAATTTTGACAAAAAAGATTTCTATTTAATTTAAGAGATATGAACAACTGGAAGAAGAGAAAGATCATGAAATAATTGTATATTATAGTATAATTATAGTTAGTCTAAATATGTGAAAGGAATCTTGGATTTCTCGCAGATTGTGTTTTTTTGTAAACCTACCTGCTTCTTTTTGTAAAAACCATTTTTTTCACAGTTAGGTATGTAGATATCATGAGGGGACTTAATTAAATGGCTATCAAGACTTTTGATGACTTCCATTAGCAGTTTACGACAAGGAGCCTGCAGAATGAGAAAGATACATGTAGAAAGCAATGTTAGCAGCATAGGATTCATATAATACAGCCTGCTGAAACAGATTTAGATCATTCTTACCTCAATGGGGTCCTCAGTTGATGCCAATTCTGAGAACAGCAATGGGAAATACAAAAGACAACATTTACTTATAATGTACGTAGGTTTGACAGAGTTTTAAAACATATTTTCATAGAAAGACATCGCGGAAGCTTTTGCACCCTGTTTACCTTTCAGCAGACAAATAGAAATTAGGTAGATACATGATGCATCATTTGAAAAGTGATTAAAAGTTAATTTCGCCCTATATTGTAATGATACACTTTGGTGTCAATAATTTCACTACTGCTGATGTGGCAGAAATGTTGGACCCTAGTAAAATACCATTTAACATACAATGATACATACATAATTCTAAACAGTGACCGCTGCAGATTATGAGCTGCTGATTATGATTATCAGCCAGTGCATTTCCCTCAGCTTTCCATTTCACCTGCCCAGTTGACAGATTAAGCGATGAAAATCATTCATAGATCAGTTTCATATATCTTACCCTGTGCAGCCGCAGTGGTGCTCCTGATATTGCTGCTAATATTTCTGCAGACTCCTCTGCCCTCCAGCAGGGCACGTAGGGGCCTCAGCTCCTCCTTTGAAGCTTTGCAGCGCAGACCAGGAGCACAGCTCAAAGTGTAGATGCCACATGGCTCTCCAGGAGCCAAAGTGGCCGCTTTCACATCAGCAGGCTTTCCTGTGCAGGTGGGACATCCTCTGGATGGTGTGGTCAGGATGCTTGATAAAGCAACCTCCTGGAAGAGCAGCATCAAAAGGTTTATATACAGGAACATCTTGATTTCAAGGATTCCCATGAAGCTGTCATCCAAATTCTTAATAGAGGTTAATTGAAATGTTTTCTAGAAGGATTCTTTTGTCTCCGAAAAGAACTCCTCAGACGGCAATCTCTCTATCTAAGATAGGTGGGGATGATTTCGTCCTTCCAAGACAGTAATGATAAGGCAGTCAGACGCTACTGGCAGCACCTTTTTTAAGAGCCTCAAGCACAGAGGAAAGGTATATGGGAGGGTACATGATGAAGAATGTTAGCTTTCCCTCTCATTTTCACCCAGTTAAGCACACCCCTAGATTGACATGACACCCACACGAAGACTCGCACACATTCAACCCATTTGTTGTCCGTCATCATGGATATCTGTGGTGTTTTCATCACTGACATAAATCACAGGTAATGGCAGTGGTTGCTGCTCCATTGTTCTGAGTTATCCCCATCTGGGGAGTAATTTATCTATGGAGAAGATGGTTAAATATGATAGACCAGTTCAGAGAGCCAGAACCCGGTCTACCCATTTAATAAATTAATTAGTGTTTGGTTATCAGACTTTAAAAACAAGTATAGTTTGCTGTTTTCTTCAATCAGGATAAAAAGCGAATGAAAAAGAACATTTTACACAAACTGGAACTGTATGATCGGCTGCACTTATGCTGTTATCTATTCCAGTTTTGATCAACAGTGTGCATTTTAAGCTATGAATAAGGGAAAATAAACAAAAAAGCATCCTGAAGTCAAAATTTAGGGATGGAAACCTAAACGTTTCTCATCAACCTAAAATGTGTAAAACATCCATAAGTTTGTCAATAAACTAATTATTTACTTTTAGGCAGTTTTCTTCAAAATATTCCACCATCCATAAAAATGTAGGAAACTTTGTGAAATTTGTATTGTACACTTTCATTGTTAAAGGTTGAAGTAAAACATGGATACAAAATGAGAGTTTCTACTGGTTTATTGTTTTATATTTTCCTCATAGATAGTTTATAAAAATAAATCCTGAGAATAGCAGATATTATAGCCCAGGAACCACCAATGGTTAATATATCACACAGCAATAGAATAAATGGTTTCAGATTGTAGTGGCGTTAGACTTTCATATTTATCAGCTGAGTTAAAATTCCATTAATAAAAGTAACAATCATTTTTGTCATTCGGATACAATTTACTACAGTTTGAAATGTGTGGGGAAATTTGAAATTTGTTAGGACTTTTTGAGGAAATGACTTATACAGTGTGTCACTAAACACCATGTGACTAAGACATTATCAGCCAAGCACAGAAAGCCCCAGTCTGTAAATTCCACTGCCTGAGTCACAGAACTACAGTAATGCTTGTTCATACAGACTGTGACAACTCTGACTTTGCAAATGTGATTGTTATCTTCCTAAAGGTAGAGGGCCATAAAAAATGTTCTACACGTTAAAAACTTTACATCAAAAGGAAACACAATCAGGCAGAATAATAAAAAAAAAATATTCTGAGAAAATATTAAATAAAAAAAAAAATACAAACATGAACGTATAAAACCCCAATGGCTGCGCGTGGGTTAAAATTTCCTGTCATTTGATTGGTGAGGTGGGCGGGACTTCCGGTAGAGAACAGGTTGGACATAAAGTGACAGACTTCACCTCCTGAAATTAGGAAGAAAAACCCGAAGGACGACGTGTTACAAGTTATAAAACAGTAAGGAACCACCGTAAGACTTAAAACCGTTTAATGGTGTCGGTCTGACGTGGGGTAATTTGTAGTTTTCGCTTCAGAATTAGCCGCACGGCGTGTTAATGTTGGAACGCTGAAGGCAGCTAGCCGGCCAACAGTCCTGCGTGTACTTTACGAGGCTGCGTTCATGGGCGGCTCGTAATTAATGGTTTGTAGGACGTGTTTAAATTCTATCCGAAAAAGTAGTGCTTGAGACATTTAAATAAATAAAGAAAAAAACAAAAAACACCCCGGATATATTATTAAATCGTGATATCTAGTCACTTTTAATTTGCTCTAATCGTCAGTTTAATGACAAATGACCCATCGTTGTTCTGTAATCCATCGTTTCTCTTGGTTAGCAACATACCATTTTATCAGCTTTTTTAGGTAAATAAGATCACATTAGCGGGCAGGTTGTTGAATCACTTGGTGCCGAAAGACTTAAAATATAAATTAGGTTTAAACCTATGATTTATAAGTTTTCTTCTAAGTTTGCCCTATATGTTCCTCCAATTTCCATTCAACATCAACCAGGTTTCCTCGCCCTTTGGGAAAAGCTTTCCCAGAACATGATGCTGCCTCCTCCATGCTTCATAGTGTTGTGCAGTAATGGTCTTGTTATCCCCTACAAATAGCTGGGGAGGGGGGGCCATCAAAAGTTTTGTAAAACACTGCATGCAGGGCAGAAATTAAGATGACTTTATTATTTCAAAAGTTCAGATGTGTCTCTCAGTTCTGAATTCAAACCTGTGAAAAACTTTGACCCAAAATCACAATAGATATGATTACTTATATTTAGTCCTCACAAATTCGTTTTGATAAAAAGTGTTTAGAATAAATGTCAGTTTGATGGCTTAAAATCTCCATTTAATGACTCTAGAAATGTTATTTCATTTTACCATTCTGTTTCTATTAATAATTTTGAAATTCTGCAATTAAGACAGCAAATATTTTAATAAACTGTGATGTTTGCTTAAATAAGCTTCTTCAGGAACCCATAATGTGAACTTTATCTCTAAACTGAAAGTTGTACCTTCATTAAATCAAATGTTATCTATTTATTTTTGTATTTATCAATGCTCTTATGGAGCCAACAGGGATAAAAAAGGAAGAAATTATTTAAAAAATATATACTTTTTTCAGGGTTTTTAAAAGCTGTTAATTGGATTTACCAAAATGTTGGTAAATATTTATTGACTATAACATTTTTTTCCCCTCCCTATACAGACTGTCTGGTTGATAAAGCTGACATCAGACGCACCAATCTAGGTTTTTCCAATCCAATCCGATACCTGGGTTTACTGTGTTAGCATATACTCTTAAAAGATCCAATACTACTGTGGAATGAATGAGCCGTATACCTAGGAGTGTGAGTAAAGTCTTCAGGTTTGACACAAACATTAACAAACGATAGTAAGTTGATGCAAATATAAATACACTTAATATTCTTTATTTAACAACTAAAGTGTACATTAGCAGCAGAAATAAATAATACTTCCATGTAAACTATACTTAAAAAATATTTGAAGAGGTAATATAAATAAAAGAAGAAATACCTGGACTGAAAGAGTGAATTTATCCGATATCCAGGTATCAGATCAGTGCATCCCTAGTCTGAGGATGCTGCTATAGATGCTCTGTAGGGATTTACAAACCTGCAAACGGGAATATTGAAAAGCTGAGTTTATACCAACAGCTGTGTAATTATAGATGTATAAATCTAACTTGCACTTGGTTGAATGCTTTACACTCAGATAAGATACAATGATCATAGATTTTTTTTTAATACTACATTATTCAGGAGACTCCTTTATTATAGAACAACAACTTATTTTTTAATGGGTGTCTTACTTAGGATGCAGGGCAGTGGAGGGAAAAACTGTGACAGTCTTAGGGTTAAAACGGTTCAACTCTCGTGTTTCTGCCCATCGGCAGTCAGGTCTATGTCCAGGCTTGCACATGTCTGTGGAAAATGGGATTAAATGTGAATGGAAAAACTCAGGCTCCAAAGGGAAGGGTTTGGCCTTAGCGTGAAATCCATAACCTCGCTGTTGTCAAGCAACAGTGGTGCTCATGTTGTGGTCAAAATCCTTAGCTGGCTTTTAAGAAGGAGTGTGGTCTCATGTGGAAAAATCTCCCTTGCATTATAAAGCTGGATACATGAAGTAATCAGTTTTGAACATTGCACTTAATGTAAATTAAATGAAGTGTTAAACAAAACAAAACCTTATTCTATCACCATCCTCATCCGTATGTCTTTTCTGAACCTTACCAGATTGTGTCCTGTGTCTTTTTTTTTTTCCGTTTTCAGGCTGGGGATGATTTTCAGACATGGACGACATAAACCTTCATTATCGCTTTTTGAACTGGAGGAGACGAATTCGAGAAATTCGTGAAGTTCGAGCTGTGCGTTATCGGGATCGGTGGAGGAACATGTTAAGAGATGGTGAAATACTCAGGTAATGCTGAGGAGCAAAGCTTGAAAGTGAGCAATATGTATGGGTTTGGCTTAAATCATAACCGTGTCTGCGTTCTGTTGGATCTTTAGGTATCAGGGGGATTCAGATGAAGTTGGCTGTTTTGTGGCTGCAAGACCTCTTTCCAAAAAGAGACGCTATTTTGAAGTAAGAACTCATGGTTTCCTATTATTCTACGGCTGTTTAGTTCACACTGAAACTCCTGTTGTTTCAAATACTTTTTCCACAAAAGGATTCATATTTCCATTAATGTGAAGCAGCAGTTTTAGTCTGAAAGAAAAGTTAGAGTTAGAATTTTAAAGTTTTATGAGGTTATAATGAAATGTTTTAATTTTACTTGGTTCTGTAGCTTACATGCATCAAGAAAGGAAAGAAATATAAATGATGCCACTCTGTCATTGTCTATCAAACAAAGATAAACTTACAATTAGGCCATACCCCCAGCAGCCATAACTAAAATGCCTGCATGGGGGATGAACATGCACATGTTTATCACATCTAGGAAAATTTGTAACAATGCCAACAGTTCCACTTGTAAAAAAAAAAAACACGGTGAAACAGCAATGGCTCCTTCTGATGGAGGTTTAAACTCTATAGACATCTTGCGATTTGGCTCATGAATATCACAACTGTCAACACATTGTTCATAACTATTGGCAAGAAGTCGCTGTCACCCTGACGATGAAGAGGCATTGAGAATGCTGGAAATTGCTGTGTTTTCCACGTCTACATGTGGGCTGATGTTGCTGCTCTTTGCTGTACTAGTAGTTTATGGAGGTTTTCTGGGGGAAGGGAGGGGAGTTGAAATTTTCAAGCGGAGGGGTGAGTGGACTCTGAAGCAGTTTGGCAAATGTTAGAGGGAAGAACTTGCTTGATGCTGCAGAGATAATGGAAAGTAAACCAGGTTATGTTATGGATGTGAAAAATAAAGCATAGGGTTAAATGGATGTCCTTTTCTTTTTGTTTCTTTTTGTTTATTTTCCTGCCACTAATTCTAGTTAATTCAGGATCCCTGCTTTTATTAGGTTCTTTTTGCAGCTTTGCTTTCTTCTTTTCAGCCATCCTGCTGTAGGTTTGCTGCTGTATTTGGTTTCCGTTGCTTGATCTGTTTTCAGCTGTCCTCTGCTGTTGCACAGATGGAGTCTAGAATAATTTGCTAAGAGAAATTCCCTTTGCACTCAGTGACTAAAGGATGCCCTTTTCCTATCACTGCAAAAAACATAAGTCTTCACACCTGTACCATAGTTAGAAAGTTAAAATGTTAATGATGATTCGCAGGTTTTTTGTTTTCTCAAAGCAAGCCACCATTCCTCCTTCACCGTGTCTAAGAGTTGGTGTGAGGAGGTTGTACTGATATATGTTGTTTGAATTTAATCAGTTATCTCTACTTTGTCTCTACAAGTTTCTAATAACTCATCCAAAGGAGTTAGTTCTACAGTTGTGTTGTTCCTTCCCAAGCTGCTCTACAAACCTTACACTTCTAGTAATTTATCCCAGAGAAGACCTATCAGACAAGATCCTTATTTATTTCTCTGACTGTTCGGTCAAGGAGAATTTGTGGCAGTTACAGTCGCACATTTCTCTTCTGCCTCTGTGTTGAACTAAGTAACCATGATCAGATTTATTTTTAGTTTTACAGAGTCTGCTTATGGTATGGCTTTTGTGGTTAATTTAGGGCACTGATGGGAGTCTGCTTCAACAAACTTCACTCTAATATTAGCTCTTTAGAACTTGATTGCATGCTAGTGATGCCATTTAGCATTACGTGTTGAATGCAAGCGACAAGCCTACAAGTTGCTGGACATTGGCCCTCGAGGATTTAAGTTTAAAACCGCTAATCTATGGCTGTGGGCCTCTTTAGACCAAATATCTTTCCAGATCTGGTAGAATCCCTTCAAAGTTGTTGCTTTCATGGCACCTCCTCAAACTTAATGCTTATAATTAGGGCTGCAACTAAC